CCCGTCGACAGTGTTGGAGTCAGTGGCCCTAACTGTGGAGCTCAGGAGGGAAGATCCTGAAATAGAGCTGAGAGTTGAGGAGTCTGGGACTGTGAGGTCAGGGCTGGGATCTGCACTCCTGTCATGTAGTTTCATCCCTCTTTCATCGTTCGTCCCCCCAGCACTTTTCAGAGCCCTCCATTTTCCTGTATGGGCTGGAATGCTTCGAGGGGAAGGAGATTGAACTAAATGGTGAGGTGCGGAGCCTGCAAGCCGAGGGCTTCAACAACCACGTGCTGTCCGTGCGGATCAAGGGGGGCATGTGAGTGTGTTTTGGGTGGCCCAGCAGATGTCAGGATTGCTGGGGGATGAGTGAGACCCCAGGAATCCTGGCCTCCTCCTACTCTTTTCTTCTGCCCTGCCCCCACCTCTAATCAGGCAGGAGGGAGAAGTACAGGCTGAGAGGGGTCACGGCAGGTTAACGTCTAGCCTCCAGGGTATAACTAGCTTCTCCAGGCCCCTACTTTACCCTGAAAACTCCATAACTACTTCCAAGCTTCCCTCCCTATCCTGGATACCTAAAGAGGAGTCCCCACGTGGGAGAAAAGGAGGTAGGGGAGGAAGTGGGGAAGGCTCTGACATCCATATGTCCTCTCCCACTTATCTGTCTGTCTGTGTTCCTCTCTCTCTGGCACTTGCTGGGCCCAGCTGGGTGCTGTGTGAGCACAGTGACTTTCGGGGCCGCCAGTGGTTGGTAGGCAGCTGTGAGATCACCAACTGGCTAACATACAGTGGAACCCAGAGGGTGGGCTCCCTCTACCCCATCAAGCAAGTGAGTAGCTTGTCGGGTTGAGAGTGTTTGTGTCACTCTGCCTGGGTGTGTGTCTGTCTGGATGTGATCTATCCATAGTTCCCCAACTCAGCATTTGTGTAGCAGTGTTTGTTGTTGGTAAGTGCCATCAGTTGGTTCTGACCCTGACCCATAGTGACCCTGTATAGAGTTTCTGAGGAGCGGCTGGTGAGCTTGAACTACTGACCTTGTGGTTCAAACTCACTTTGCAGTCCAGCACATTAACCCGCAGCTCCACACCAGGACTCTATATGTGTAATCACACATACACACCTATATATTTATTGTTGTTGTTAAGTGCTGTTGACTCGGTTTTAACTCATAGTAACCCTCAAAGTATAGAGTGTCTGAGGAGCGGCTGGGGAATTTGAACCGCTAACCTTGTGATTCAAACCAACTTTATGGTCCAGTGCTTATCCTATAGCGCCACACCAGAACTCCCTACCCCCAGCCCTTCTTACTCTCTCTCTCTCGCTATATATATATATATATATATATATATATATATATATATATATATGCATATATATGTATATGTATAAATAGAAAGAAGGAGGGAAAGAGAGAGGAATTGGCTCACAAGATTATTTGTTGTTGTTAGGTGCCATTGAGTTGGTACCGACCTATAGCGACCTTATGCACAGCAGAATGAAATACTGCCCCATCTTGGGCCAACTTCACCACTGTTGTCATGTTTGAGTCCAGCGATGCTGCACTTGGCCAATCCATCTCGTTAAGGGTCTTCCTGTTTTTCTCTGACCCTCCACCTTACCAAATATGATATCCTTCTCCAGTGATTGGTCCCTCCTGACAATATGTCTGAAGTATGAGAGACAAAGTTTGGCCATCTTGGCCTCCAAGGAGCATTCTGGCTGCACTTCTTCTAAAACAGATCTGTTGGTTCTTTTGGCAACCCATGGCACTTTCAATATAGGGACTAGCTATTTGAAATCTATAGGCCAGCAGGTTAGAAACTCAGGTATATCTCTCTGTTACAGTTTTGAGGTAGAATTTCTTCTCCTCTGGAAACCTCAATGTTTGCTCATAATGCCTTCAACTGATTGGATAAGTCTCACCCACATTATTTCCATTACTTGGAGTCAACCGATTGTAAATGTTAATTACATCTACAAAATACCTTCACAGCAATATCTAGACCAATGTTTGACCAACAGTCTGGCACCATAGCCGAATCTAGGTGACACAAAACCAGTACAAGTATTGTCACAGTGTTTTCTACATCATGGTTCTTTTGGAACCTTTAGCTACTTAATATTTTTCTCTAAATCATTTCACTTTAGAAAAACAAGAACTTTATCTTCGTCAGTGAAGGAATAATGTCCATGAAATCCCTGGATTTAATGTACATGTATATCCTGGTGTGGCACTGTAGGATAAACACTGGACTACTAGCTGCAAGGTGTGTGATTCAAACCCACCAGCCATTCCTCGAAAACCCTATGTAGGGTCACTGTGAGTTGGAATCGACTCAATGGCCCTTCATAACAACAGAGATAGTTTTTCTTTAATAGACATGATAGTACAAGAAGAAGGCTTCGAGAAGTTCATGGAGAAATTCCATTGTCTTTTCATGCCATGGTCCGTGAGCTTTTTGAAGCCATCATGTATTACTGTTAATTTAAAAAAAACAAAACAAAAAACCAGAGTTGGTCCATGTGGGCTTAGAAATTGTCTCCTGTGCCCACCATCCTTTCACTTCACGATATGCCATGCCTGTACATGTCTACCTGTGTGCATTTATGTGGTGTCATCGCCGTGGGGTCTGTGTGTGGGCATGTCTGAGGGTACTTCTATGTCCAGGCTGTCATGTGTGTCCATGCGTCTGTCTGTGTGCTCTGCACGTACACTGTGGCTCTGGGTGTGTTCATTCATCTGTGGGAGTTTGCTTCTGACTGTGTGTGTATGCCTGTATTTGTGATATTGGTGAAAGCATGTGTGTCTTTGTATGGAGGTAGTTACCTAGTCCCTTTATTCACAAATGCACACATTATTGCTAGAGGAAATCTTGGAGAGCATCTCCGTTCCTCATGTTTTTACAGATGGGGAGATGAAGGCCCAGAGAAGTAGGCAGGATTTGCTCTGCAACTTTGGGCAAGTACTGTACCTCCATGAGCCTTAGTTTCTACATCTTTAAAATGGGGATAATCTATACCATGGGATGATTGTGAGGACTGAAGGTAAATGATGTATGTAAAAACCCTAATAGCAGTGCATGTGTGTGTTAACACTCCACAAGCATTAGCTGTGAGCATGACTATTTCTGTTATTATCTTCACCCCCATTTAAAACCCCAGCCAGGTCTGATGTTCAGTGGCCACCACCTGGTGACACACAGGTGTGTGCATGCATTTCGTTCTGTGAGTGTGTGTGCACATCTGGGTTCCTATGCTCACTTGTCTTTTTAGCAAGTAGAAGAGCCTGACCTGGAATAGGTGGTGCTGGCCTGTGTGTGCTTTGGGATGTGTCTGCTGTGAACATCTGTGCAACCATGTGCACCATGGGTACATTTGTCAAGTGTGTCTGTGGACGTGGGACTGTGGGTGTGTGCTGTGAGTGTGCTTGTAAGTATATATGCTTGAAAGAAGGGGTGACTTAGAAACAGCTGAAGCAGGTTTAGAGGCAAGGAATGGGTGAAAGCTTCAGGTTAGGGGTGCTGGGGCCAAGTAAGAGCGTCCCTAACCAGGGAACCTCTGACCTTCGGCTCCCCTCCTCACTAGCGCCGAGCTTACTTCCGCCTCTGGAATGCTGCCCTTGGGGGATTCCTGGCGGTGCCAGAACATGTGGAGGACATGAAAGCAGGCCGGGTGGTGGTCTCCGAAGCCCGAGCTGGAGGCAGCTGCATCTGGTACTACGAGGACGGGTTACTGAAGAACCAGGTACCAGCTGAGCGGCTGGGGCAGGGATACCAGGGGCCCAGGTAACTCCCAGGCCCACCTTGGGGAATCCCAGGCCAATCAGGAGCAGGTCCCACCTTTGAGCCAGAAAGACAGATATGCTCAGGAACCAGGACCCTTGGGGAGGGCATGGGAAAATTCAGGCTGTGTGCTCTAGGTGAGTCATGCTCTTCTCTGGGCCTCAGTCTCCACCTGCAGAGCAGGAGTATTGAACCAGATCTCCTAATAACCCCCCACACACTGATATCCTGGGTCAGGACTGGAATCCTACTAAGAATGACAGATTCATTCCACAAACATTTTCTAAGCACTTCCTATGTGCCAGCCCCTGCCTGGATGTTGGGAATACAGCAGTGAGATGACAGAAGGGTCTCCTGTCCTCCTAAAGCTTATATCTTAATGGGGAGGGAAACAAGTAAAATATCTTAGTAGCTTACATGATGCAAAGTGCTCTAGAGGAAAAAGAGATCAAGAAAGAATAGGGAGTGTCGGGAAAGCTCTTCCTGGGGTGTCATTTGAAGGCGAACATGTTGAGGAAGAGTGTTCCAGGCAGAGGGAATAGCCAGTGCAAAGGCCCTGAGGTAGGAACATTCCCAGTATTCTCTAGGACCAAGCCAGACCACTGGTGTGGCTGGAGTGAAGTGGATGAGGGAGAAAGTAACAGGTTAGATAAAGTCAGAAAGGATGTGAAGCGTGTAGGTCTTTGTAGGCCTTTGAAAGGGTTTCATCTTTTACTTTGAATGAGAATAACACCTGCTATGGGCTAGGCACTTAGCAGTAAGTACTAAGTCCTTCGCATGAATGCCACATATTATCTGTACGGAACACTATGGGACAGGTCCTATTATACTGTCCATTTTCCAGGTGAGGAAACCAAAATACAGAGAGGTTAAGTAAATTGCTGCTGAAAGTCACACAGCTAATGAGTGGAGTGGAACCAGAGAGGCTTATACAAGGCTAACACCTATATCATGGAAGGCTTCCTGGAGGAGCTAATATTTTTCTAGTGTTTTTATAATTCCTGAGGAGCCCTGATGGTGCAGTAGGTTAAGTGTTGGGCTGCTAACTGAAAGTTCAGTAGTTCGAACTCACCAACTGCTCTGTGGGAGAAAGAGCAGTTTCCTACAGATTTTCTGCCTTAGAAACTCAATGGGGCAATCGCCTCTGCTGCTCTGTAGGATCAATAGGATTCAGAATCGACCCGACAGCCGTGCGTTTGCTTTTTGTTGAGTTTATGATTCCCATGTTGAACTCTGGCATCAACCAGCGCCCCATTTCCAAGGAAACCAAAACTCAGAGGCAGGATTCAGACCGGGTGTGTTGAGGGCATCTTGGGTTTGGTGGAGTCCCTGTGAGGAAGAACTATCTTATGATATCCTGGGGCTGCAGGTGGCCCCCACCATGAGTCTGCAGGTGATTGGGCCCCCCAGCACGGGCTCCAAAGTGGTGCTGTGGGCTGAGAGCCGCCTGCCCCGCCAGACATGGAGCATCAAGGAATCGGGCCACATCTGCAGTCAGATGTTTGAAGACCGGATCCTGGATGTTAAGGGTAAGGTGTCGATATGTGTGGGGTGAGGGCAGCTGAGGAAGCTGAGGATTGTGGAAACCTGAGCTGTCTCTAACAGTCTCTTACTGCCCATTCTTACTGTTCCGCCCCCTCAGGAGGCCGAGGCTATGACCGGGACCACACGGTGCTGTGGGAGCTAGCCAAGGACAGAGCCTCCCAGATCTGGACCATTCAAGTGCTTTGAGCCCCACCTCTTCCTTCCACTCCGTACACCACCTCCCCTCCCACCCCATCCCCCAACCTCCTGGAGATCTGGAGGCTGTCGCCAAGATGAAATGTTTTTACAGGGTTTTTTTTTTGTTGTTGTTGTATCATAAGTTGTTTTCTAATATACTCCCAAATACCTTCGTCTCTGTGCACTTTGATATTTGGGAGGTGTGGAGTGGAGAGAACTCTTCGCCCACTGCCCTCTTCCTCCAATACTCAGGCTGGTTTCTCCTCTTTGCTCCAGTTCTGGGACTCAGATGCAAGGCCTCCATCTGCCAGCAGAGGGAGCCCTAGGACTGGACAAACTGATAAGTGCTGCCCTTTATAGAATTGCTTCAGATGTAGTGTTCTAAGATCCTGCTCTGAGCCACGTCTCCGGAGGTGAGGGGCGTTGAGCCTCTGATATTGGAGATGTCTGGGGTCTAGTTGTGGAAAGGAGGTCCTTTGGAACTATTATTCCCAGAAACCAAGGGGCAGGTGAAACAAATGAACTTAGAAAGGTATGGCAGGTCCGAGCCTCTTCCCTGCAAGGTGGTCCTAAGGGCAGGGGGCCATCAACATTTGGGGTGGAGAAGCTGTAGTGGTAACTCCCTGGTGTCACCTCTCTAGCTGATGGGGAGCGCTGCTGCAATCCTGCCCAGTGACCACACACAGAATCTCATTCCAAGTATAAGGAAACTTTACTGATCCTCTGCAGTGTGACTCTTGCCCCTCCACATCAGGACCTCCCCATTTTAGCCACTGCCCCCAAGACGCTGCCCTGTCAATTTCCACAATCTGGTGACCTCTGGCATCAACCCCTCCCAAGGATCCGAGGGGGAGGGGATCTTCCTGTGCATCATGGTGGCAGTGGTTTCTTGGGCACGGGCTGAGGCATGTCACTTTAACTGAGATGGAATAGGTGGATGAAGATACTGGTCAGCAGGAGGAGGACACTGCCAACACCCAGGCCACTAAGTGTAGAGGCTGCATTCGTTTTCTTGGTGGTCTTGTTCATGGTGACTGCAACTTGTATCTGCAAAAGGAGACGTGAAGGAATCTCAAGGGACTTTTGAATCCCCCAGTAAAACAATGCTCAGTTCTCTCTTGCATATGACCATTATGTCTGCCACAAGGTCCTGGAGGGACCCCTTGGCTTCTTCTGAACTTTCATTTTACTTTTCCCAGGCCACCAGCTCCTTTAGTGTCAAGGGACACAGGATGGCCCAGTGTTCTGCAGGGAGTCAGACCCAGCAAATGTGCCCACAGCTCTTGACCTTATTATGCGGGCAATATATAAAATCTCTCTGAGCCTCAGTTTCCATGTCTTCTTCATAGGGAGAAGAGTCCTTCACAGTTGTGAGGGTTAGGTGAGACAGGGCTGAGTGAGAAGGCATTTGGTAAAGGGTGAATGGGTGGGTAAATAGAGTGGACAAGGTGGAACTGCCTCCCTTAAGAAATGACCTCCCTTAAGATGGTGACCAAGCTGTTCTTAATGCTTGATCAAGCTGTTCCTGATAGAGATTAAACTATTTTTGATGGCAATCACACTGAGCTTGATGCTTGATCAAGCTGTTCTTGATCGAGAACTTGATGGCTTCTGTTTCCTGTACTAACTCGTCCTCTCTGGGCATATGGGATGCTGCCAAAGCTGCCTCCCAAGAGAGTAGTTGAATTTGAGATCTACTTGTTTCTGATCTGAATGGGGGATTTTGCTCTTTTTTGAATTCCCCAAATCCAGACTTCTCTGTGGGGTCCACTACCGCCTCCAAAACAAGACCAACTTCATTTGTCAGTTTCATGCCTACCTCCCAGCGCCTAACAGAACTGATTTCCCAGGTTCCCTGTGGGTTGATGCCATCCTCAATTTGGTCTGATTTCTGAGACTTCTTAGTTCTCTACGATTCCACAACACACCTTGGGTGCCCTAGTGTGCCTTGTACCCTGTAAATGTTCCCCAGTCTCAACTACTAGGCTTCTGCTCAGGGGCAGCCCCAGACAATCTCACTCCATCCAGAAGAGCTGGAAGACTGGGCAGCCAGGCTTCCTGAGTCCTTGGCTCCCCTTCTGGGGCCTGTCTGCCTCTGCTCCCATAGCAGAAGACTGAGTCCCCAGGAGCTTGCATTCTGTCCCTCCTTTCCTGGGCAGGTATGGGGAGTCCTGGGGGGTGATGCCAGGAGATCTGAGGGGCTAGTCTTACCTGGATCATGACCAGAAGGCTGATGGTGAGTAGGAGGAAGAGGAAACCCTTCATCTTGAGAGGATCTTGTAGGCTCTCTTGCTTTAGTAGCTTTTGGAGATGAGTCCAAGACTGCTTGTCTGTTTTAACTTGGTTGTTTTTGAACCATGAAGTGGAGGAGGCGGGGTGATAGCGGAGGAAGGAGGGCCTGCAGAGAAGTGGGAAGTACTTCCTTTCTATAGACCTGGTGGTTGAGGATACCTAGCCCTGGGGCTTAAGGCCCTGGCAGGTGATGGGTTTAGGATAGGGACCAAGCTGAATCTCACGGTGGGAAAACCAAGGGGGCAACTGTGAGGCAGTGACTAGGGCCCTAGGTTTGGGCTCATACATGCTGGGGATTGACTCTCAAGACGTTGGGCCAGAAAGTGTACCTGTCTGAGCCTCCCAACAAACAGTGCAATAACCCATTTAAAAGCTGATACACCATCAATATTTTATTGATACTTTTTAAAAAAGGGATAGGAGTTGAAGGAGAAATGATTGGGGATAGATTTCAATTTCAAGATAGGGCTAGAGCCAGAGCCCCAGATTCAGAATGAGGCCTAAGGAACATTGAAGGAGGGTGGTGGGTTTCTCTGAAGATGATGGAGCACTAGATTAGGAGTCAGGAAACTTGGCTGCTAGCACAAATCACAGTAGTGCCATGGGTGGGCAAGCCCTTTGTACTCTCTGGACCTCAGTTTCCTCATTCAAATAAGAAGACAGGGGATTGTTTCTGAAGTTTCTTAAAGCTTAGTGATGTGTGATTTGGGCAAAAAGAATAACAGATGGAGAGTTTCTTTCAAATTAGGCTGGATGGGAGGGGCCCTCATGGAGGGACAGGCAAGTGACTGGACTCCAGTAGAAGGGGGAGTGACTATGAAGTCTCAACTGTGGATGGGGCAGTGAGATGAATCAGAAAGCTGATTAAACAGTGCCTAATCCTGTATGCCTTGATTCACTCATCGAGGCTGTACATTATACCCAATTTTCTGATGAAGAAATTGAGATTTAGAGGTTAAGTAACTTGTCCAAGGTAGTAAATGGTGGAGCCCATCTAATTTGAACTTGAATCCAGATTATCTGAAGCCAGAGTCATGTGTGTAATTTCTGGGACTACCCTAGAATTTGCCAATGAGGCTGCTCCTCAACCAGCCTCTTGGAAGGCCCAAAGGCTGCTGACTCTGCAGTAAGATTCTGCCTGCCATACCTACTCCCCCTTTCTTTATCTGATGTCTTATTTGCATGCCAGGTACTAAGTGGGGACTCCCCACCCCACTTCCTTCTATGGTTATCTGGAAACAATCCGGAGTGGGCCCTTAGAGGCCTCTGGTCCCTGACTGAGACAAGCTCAAAAGGAAAATAGCACTGAGACTCCAGACTGGCAAGAGAAAGCCTGCAGAGGAAGGTAGCAGGGAGTCTTGGGGATTTGGGAGGGAAGGGAAATGGGAGGAGCCCATCTCTCCCTGCTCCCATCAAGTTCTCAGATGCTTTGGGGTACTTGTGGGGTTGAATGGTTCAGGGGGTTCATGAGAGTCAGTGAGGTTTCTGGAAGCCTGACACAAGACTGGCTCGGAAACAGGAGGCCCATGTGAAAATCCAAGAGTGTCCTGCTGTGATTGGCTCCTTCATGCTAGGTGGTCATCTTTCCCTTACAAAGAGGCAGCTGGGTAGGATGAGCCCTGGCAACAGGCATGCTGCAGTTTCTCCATGCTGGGGATGTGTAGGAGAATTCTTACATGCCAGACTCGTATTTGTGAAAATTTACTTACAAACCTCCTATCATTGAATTGTGTCTCCCAGAATCATGTTGACTTGACTGGGCTATGATTCACAGGATTTGGTAGTTACGTAAGGATATAGTGTGGCAGCTATGTCATGATGTAATCGTCTATGGTGTGATCAGCCAATCAGTTAGTTATAAGGGGATTAGGATGGGATGCAACACCTTCACTCAGATCACAGCCCTGTTCTGATGTAAAGAGAGCTTTCCTGGGGTGTGGTCTCCATCACCTTTTCTCTTGCAAGAGATCAAAGGAGACAGAAGAGAGCAGAGAAGGGGCCTTACTACCACCAGGAAAGAACTGCCAAGAGCAAAGCATGTCCAGGAGTCCCTGTGCTGAGAACCTCCTAGACCCAAGACACATGGCTATCTCCAAGGAATGCCAGGAGCACAGATGTTGAAAGGAAAGAACGACTTTCCTCCAGAGCTGGTAGAGGGAAAAGGCTTTCCCTAGAGGCCGAGCTCTGAATTGAGACTTTTAGCTCCTAAATCATAAGAGTCCTGCTGTGATACTATAGGGTAAGCACTGAACTGCTAACTACAATGTTGGTGGTTCAAGCTCCTCAGAAACCCTGTACAACATCACTATGAGTTGGAACTGACTCAATGGCAGTTAACAACAACAACTATAACAAATTGTGAGAGAATAAATGTGCTGTCATAACAGCACTAAATAACTAAGATACCTCAGAAGTTTCATTTCCACACCCTGAGGCTCCTCTGTGGTGTGAGACGGAGTTGATGGTGGTTGGTCTCAGGAGAATGCTAGAAGGTTTTTCAAGAGTCTTCAGGACTTGGGGCATGGAGAGATGTCTGGAGCCTGTCTATACCTGAGAAAGGAAGTAGGGACTTTGTGCTTTTTCCTCTCCTGCCCTCTCTCTCTCTTTTTATTTTTAATTGTGAGTTGAGTGGTAGTTTACATGAGAGAACATAGGCTTTACACTCATCATTTCATTGCAATGATTAAAATCGCCTCTGTGCATCATCATTTAACAATATTTGCTTCTATTCTCTCTGTTTTGTTGTTGTTTTGGGCGGGGTGAGGTGGGGTGTGTGTGTGTATCTCTATCGCATTTTGTCTTAACCAACCTTGAAAAAGCCCTGAGAAATCTCCATTTTACAGATGAGAAAATTGAAGGCCCCAAATCAGGTTAATGACAGAGCTAGAGTTAAAACTATGATCTCCCGACTCCTATGTCTCATTGTGTACCGTCTCCAAACTTGATTTCTGAACCTTAACTAGTAGGATGGAAAATCTTGGTCCATATCTTCACTTCATCCCCTATAAGTCTCCATAAGGAACAAGACCAGCTCCTTTAATGTGACACTCAAGGCTCCTACCTACCTCCTGGAAGGATGAGACTTTCTGCTCCCGTAAAGTTTTATAGCCTCAGAAACCCTATACAGGGTTATCATGAGTTGGACTGACTTCACGGCACACAGCCATCACCATCACTACCACCTTCCTCCTCAGGAGCCCTGGTGGCAGAGTGGGTTAAGCATTGGTTTACTAACTGCAAGGTTTGCATTTCAAACCCATCAGTCGCATCAGGGAGAAAGAGACTAAAGATTTACAGTCTCAGAAGCCCTATCCCTGTGGAGCAATTGTACTATCAGCTATACAGTCACCGTGAGTCAGAATGGACCCAATGGCAGTGGATACTACCTTTTTCTGCCCCAGCACACTACTTCCTAGTCTTCAGCCATACCCGCACAGGTTTTACAACCATTCCTTCCTGACCCAGACATACCAAGCCCAGCCCTCAGCCATATCTACCCACAAGCTCCCCAGTTGCCTCAGGCTCTTTGCAAAACATGTATTTCTGGCAGAAAGACCTTCCCTCATTTTTTCACCTGGAAAACTGTTACTCATTTTTTGAGACGTCACTCCCTTTAGGAAATTCTGTGTTCCAACACCACTATCTGTTGACCTCTGTTCTAAAGATTGTGTCTGCTAAATACATGGGCTGGCTTTGACTAAATGGTTGAAATGGCAAATTATTTAACATACACATACACACACACACAAAATTATGATGATTATGGACTGGTCCCTTGACAATACAGTCTTATCACCCCTGTAACCCAGTACAGGATAGAGCTTGGCACAGAGTAGGTGTAGAAAGTGCCAAATGATGAGTGAATATAAGGTGACCATTTCCACCTCCAACCTTTGCATGCTGCATTCATTCACCCAGTAAATATCAACTGGATTAATTTCGACTAACTGCAAAGCCATTTGAACTGCAAGGTCGGTGGGTCAAGCTCACCAGCTGCTCCTCAGAAACCCTACACAGGGTTGCTGTGGGTCTAAATCTACTCGATGGCACTTAACAACAACAACAACAAGTATTAGAAAGTTAGCAACACAGAAGATTTAAGGGGCGGTTACAGTAAAGGCTTTGCGTCAACTTGATTTGGCCAAGATTCTCACTGTTTTGCGGCTAAAATGTAGATGTCATCTCCACTCCATGCTGAGATCTAATAGGATGCAATCAACCCGATGATGTGATCTGATGTGATCAGCTCTGATCTGATGTAATTATCCTATATGTTGTAAATCCTTACTTCTATGACGTTAATGCGGCCAGATACAATCTACAGGACTAGGTTAACCATATTTTGAGTCAATTTCTTATGAGGTATAAAAGGAGAGTGTGGTGCTATGGGATAAAGCACTGGATTGCAAGGTTGGTTTGAATCACAAGTTCACTGGTTCAAACCTGCTACTTGGAAACCCTAACCAGGGTCGCTGTGAGTTGGAACTGACTCTATGGCACTTAACAACAACAACAAAAAAAGGAGAGAGAAGTGAGCACCGAGAAAGAAGAGCTGGGAGTAGATTGCATCCTTTGGACCAGAGACCCCCTACACTGTGAAGCTCCTAGATTCAGGAAAGATTGGTGCCGAGACACATGGAGATCTCCAAAGAATACTGGACATACAGATGGTGGAAAGATACAAGGACCCTTCCCTAGATCTGGCACTCTGAGAACATCTAGCCTTCCAAACTGCGAGAGACTACATTTCTGTTTGTTAAAGTTATCCATTTGTGATATTTCTCTTATAGCAGCCCTAGAGAACTAGGACAGGGGCCAAAGACGTGAGTCCATTTCAAAGATGTTTGCCATTTCAAGAAGAGGCATCTGAAGAGCTAGGGGAATAAAAATTGTAATTCAAGACTTGATAAGGAAGGTGGGCCGTGCAAACTTAACACCAGGCTTTGGGTTGAGATCACAAAGGCTTGTACTCT